TCCGCTGCTCAACCGACTGAGCGCCCCGCCTGCCCCCCCGCCAGGCACCACGGTGTTGGCAGTTCCCAGCTTGTTGTTGTCTGTGTGTGTCAGATGGTTCAGGCTCAGCAAGGAGAGAGCTGGTCACTTACTAGTAAGGAGGGAATGGGTCGTGCTACCCGACTGTGGGTTTGCCAAAGTTGGATATTTCATTTAAATAGACTCGTATGATACGTGCCCCGCGTCTGGCTCATTTCACTTAGCATAATGTTTTCGAGGTTCCCCCGCAGCTTATGTCAGCGCTTCGTTCCTTTTTATGGCTGAATAATATTCCCTTGTCTGATTATACCGCTTTTTATCGATGCCTGCGTCAGGTGGTGGACGATCAAGCTGTTTGCGCCTTTCGGCTGTTGCGAATCGCGCTGCCGTTCTCATGCGCGCACATGTGGTGTGTTTCTTTTGACCATCTGCTTTCAGTTACTCTGAGTGGAATTGAATAGACTCGCCAGGCCGTATGGTAATTTTGTGTCGTTTATTGAAATGTTGCCACGCTCCGCAGAAACTCTGCCCCATTTTGCATTTCCACCAGCCCTGCTTGATGAAGCTCAGCGTTTCTCTACCTGTTCACCAAGGCTCCGCGTGCTCACCGATACTTTCTTTCTGGTTGTTATTATTGCCCTTGCCATTCTAGTGGGTATGAAGTAGTATCTCTTTGTGGCTCTGATGCAGATTTCCTTCGTAACTGATGAGTCAAGCGTCTTTCATATGTTCAGAGGCATTTTCTGTCTTCTTTGGAGGGTGCCTTTGTTTTTATGCTTACTTTCTTCGCATTGTCACTGCATGTGAACACTTTTCTCTCTCCCTCCCCCTCCCTCCCTTCCCCCCCCCTCTCTCTCTCTCTCTCTCTCTCTCTCTCTCTCTCTCTCTCGACCATAAGCTGCCTCGTTTATAAAATGGAGCTGTGGTACTTCTCCTGGGAGAGACTGACCTTTGGAACTTAAAGCATTGTTCAAGTCATTGTTAACATAAGTTTCAAATCTTGTCTTTTTTTTTCTTGCTGTTATTCCACTTTATTTTCATTTTTTAGAGAAAGCGAGCAGGGGAGGGGCAGAGAGGGAGAATCCCAAGCAGGCTCCGGGCTCAATGCTCAGCCCAACACAGGGCTCTAACTCACAACCATGACGTGATGTGAGCCGAAATCAAGACTTGGATGACTAACCGACTGAGCCACCCAGGCGCCCCTATCTCATTGTATTTTAAAATGCAGTCTGGGGGCATCTGGGTGGCTCAGTCAGCTAAGCGTCTGACTTCAGCTCAGGTCACGATCACTCAGTCCGTGAGTTTGAGACCCGCGTCGGGCTCTGTGCTGAATGCTCAGAGCCTGGAGCCTGTTTCGGATTCTGTGTCTCCCTCTTTCTCTGACCCTCCCCCGTTCATGCTCTGTCTCTCTCTGTCTCAAAAATAAATAAACGTTAAAAAAAATTAAAAAATAAAAATAAAAAATAAAATGCAGTCTGTAAACTGTAGGCTTATTTTCCAAATTGGCACCTTTTTTTTTAAATCTCTTAAAAAAATTTTTTTAATGCTTATTCATTTTTGAGAGAGAGAGAGAAAGAGACAGATCATGAGCAGGGGAGGGTCAGAGAGAGAGGGAAACACAGAATCCAAAGCAGGCTCCAGGCTCTGAGCCATCAGCACAGAACCCGACGTGGGGCTCGAACTCACGAGCTGTGAGATCATGACCTGAGCCAGAGTCAGATGCTCAACTGACCGAGCTATCCAGGTGCCCCCTAAATGTCACCTTTATTTCAGTTTTGATTTTCTGAGTTTTGACCTGTGTCTAATCCGTACTTGTATGCTATGAGTGTTTAGGTTTTAAACATATTTTAAGGTCGGTTTGTATCTTAACTAACACAGTATTGAGGCAGGAATTTGACTTTCTGCTGTTTTAGAGTAGGCAGGTGACTGTTGGAGTGGTTTTCATTACAACATCGTCGTCGTTGTTGTTGCTGTTCTCCTTTTCAGAAAAAGTTGCCTTTGACAACACTGGCTCAGTGTTTGATGGAGGGGTCAGCTATCCTGGGAGATGACACGCTTCTCGGGTAAGTGACACCATGTGTGGGTTTGTACCAAATCTGCGTAAGTCCCCATCCCTGAAAAGGGCACCAGAACTTCTCAGGGATGCACTGAGGACATCTGAAAGTCTGGCTGGGGCTTGGGTGCGAAGAAGAAAGGGTTTGCCAGTGAGAAAAATGCAAAAAGCCGAGGGATCGAAGTCATCTTTTCTGTGCGGTGAGGCAACTTCCCTGGGGGAGAAAATTAGCATACTAAGCACACGACACTGTGGAAGGACAGTTGAAACCCCCAGGGCTCCAGCGGAAGCAAATGGGAAAGCTCTCCATGTCAGATGTCAAAAATTATAGGATTCCGAGAACAGCCCTGGCTGATTTGGAGCTCACAATGAAAACAAACTAAAAATAGAATCGTCGTGAGGGAGAATCAGCAGGCACCGTCAGCAGGAGAATCGGGTCCCTACGAACTAAAAAATGGTAGGATAATACGAGGGAAAATAGGAAATCATAATGTCGATATGAAGCAATTGTTCCTAACATGAAGCTGAAAAATTACGGACAGTGCAGGCTTTAGCAGCATGTACCCCCAAATCAGAACAGTAGACGTTAGCATGGCCCCCAGAAATGGGTAACACACACACAGGCGGGTGAAACATTCCATATTTTTAAAGAAAAGTGTTTTTGGAACTATGTGTGGTGACAAATGTTAACTAGACTTCTCATGCTCTTTTCACAATAGATACAAATACGGAATCATTGTGTCGTGCACCTAGAGCTAATATACCGTTACACGTCGATTATATTATGTATGGCAATTAACATGTTGGGGCGCCTGGGTGGCGCAGTCGGTTAAGCGTCCGACTTCAGCCAGGTCACAATCTCGCGGTCCGGGAGTTCGAGCCCCGCGTCGG